ATGGCTCAGCAAATTACTGATAATCACACAGCAAGAAAAGTGTGAGTGGAGATGCTTCACAAGGTGTTAGAACAGGCCCATTAAAATGTACATTGCAGCCACCAGATTCACAACGCAGAGTACTAACCACTGTACAATCACGGCCAGCCACCACATTCAAAAGAAAAATGTTGGGCTTCGAGAGTAAAATACAAGTGCCTTGAGTGGGGTCGCTGCCTAAAACTCCATGACCACCTCATCTCTACCCTGGGCCACTACGACTTGGTGGCCCTGCCCTGGATCATGGCTTGGATCCCTGATGGAGAGCATCCACATGCCAAAGAAAATGAGAGATCAGAATTGAGATCCAGGAAGGGATGCCCACCAAGCCTGCTGTCACCTCCACCTCCATCTCTGGGGGTCCGCTGAGCCTGGGGGCCTGGCTTTACCCAGAACACGTCATGGAAGCTCTAGAATCAGAAACTTGGGGTGGCAGTAAGTGCATGTGACATCCGGGGCTTGCAGCACCTCCAGGGAGGCAGAGAGCCTGAGGCACCTCCATCAACGAGTTCCAGGCAGGTAGGAACTGGGCACTATCTGCCCCTACTTGGGAAGATCGAAATAAACAAAGTCAGCAGAACTCAGGAGTCCTTGTGGCAACGTCAGTCCAAGACCCTCAGGCTGCCGGAAGCAGCAGGGAGAACAGAGAACAGGAACTGAGGGGAGTCATGGAGCCCTGGTGTGACTGGACCCAGAGCAGGGACCTGGCAGATGTGAGCCCCTGCTGCCACATTTTGGTTTTACTCCATTCAGTTATTTTTCTTCCTCTAATTTTAAAGTGACCAGATCACTGATGGTCCTAGCCCACTTACTCTTTGCCTGATCTAGACGGACGACCATGGTATCAAAAGTCCCTCCGTGCCCCATGTCGAGGAGGGAGGAGGTCCCGTGCCAGGCCAGGCCCGGGGCGGGGGCTGCCCCTGAGTACCTCACCTTGCCACGTCCACCCAGGAAGAGTCTTGAGGTCCTGCAGTCGTTGGCTTTGTGTCCTTGCGTCCACCTCTGACTCAGCAGCTCCCCCCGGAACTCATTTTCTGAGGGTCAGAAAAAGAAAACCTAATAAACCCTCGCTGTGCCAGCTCCAGGGGAGAAGTTGGGGAACTCAGGCCACTCTTTCCACAGCAGGTGTACAGCCCTTCTCAGGGACCCACCAGAAAGACATCCAGGGTCATGGCCCCACGGCCGTTTCAGGGACAAGACACAGGAGCTCTCTGAGGAAGACCTCAGTCTGGCTGGGGCACACTCCCTCACCGGCATCCCAGCTCTGGCGCTGTCGTGTGGAACTTGACTTAGAGTTGGGGTGGGGTTCCACCCCCACGGCCCCTCCAACCCGGGCGCTGATGTGAGTCGGGTGCGGCCCCACGCTCGGCCGCCCCTGGGCCCTGGCTCCCAGGTCCTTCCTCTGCCTGTGCGCCTGCCTCTCTCCAGGGCATTGCCTCCAGTTGATATTTAATTCGTCAGGTAAATTCACACGTCGTGAAGCAGAGGCGAAAGGCATCAGCTGGACCTGACAAAGAGAGGCGTTGTGTGCCTGTTCCCTGCACGGCACTCCCTGTCTCCATGACAACCAGCTTTCTACCACTGCAGCTTTCAAAGGAAGGTCGTGAAGTAACCAACAATAAAAACAGGAAATGAATACTCCTGCATTCTGCTCTCTGCCTCCCCTTGGAAGTGAATCTGGGCTCTGCTGGAGGCCGGTCAGGCGCACTGCTGTCACACCCATTATCCTTCTTCTCACGTCTTTGACATGTGTCCCCAAATGCTGGTTTTCTATAATTCCACCACTTCTGCCCCGGGCAGTTCTGTGGCTCTGGCCACAGTGTCCTCTTGTCTGGAAATGACTCCACCCCATTAAAGGGCCGCTGGTGACCCCCAGGAACACAAACAGAGAGGGAAGCAGACAGGTTGTCAAGGAAACAGCCTGATGCAAAGTCTTCAAAGGGATGGGTAATACCACCAGAATTTGGCACCTACTGTGTGTTCCTACTGTGTGCCTCACCCTCTGGGCTATGGGTCACCTGCAGGGCCCCCGTGAGGACTGGCTCAAGTGGAGAGTGGGAAGCTACGCAACTCTTCTCCCACCCGGGCACCAGCAGACACCAGCAGGCTCCACAGGGAACCAGGCTCAACCACTGGGCACCCAAATTCCCAAACCTACGACAGGAGTCGCCCAGGATCCTAAACGCAAAAGGAGGGTGCCACTCACACCACCAGTGGGGAGGAGGGAGCAGACAGCCTCCTCGAAGGGAATGGAGGGAGGAAATTCAGGATGTGAATCACCAGGAATCACCAAGAATCACTCTGGCCACAGCGTGTGTGTCACACTTGAAGATGGTAGGAGGGTTCTGCATCTACAGCGACAATGAAAGCTGGGAGACCCCCGGCCATAAACGGGGTTCACTTCCCACAGGTACCTCCCGTGAGAGAAGGCGCCGCAGAAGCCTGCACGCTGGGCTGATCTGCGAGGCTCCAGTGGACTTTCTTGTCACTGCAACGTGTCAGTGAATGGGGTAACTAGGGCCTGTCTCCCTGACAGCTGGAGGGAAGGACACAGGACCCTAAGTCTGTGCTGCGAGCATCAGTCGTCATCCCAGCAGGTGTCCTGGAAGCACCACCTCAGCTCTTTCTCCCCTCAACCCGCCTGCCTCCCAAGAAGCCCAGCGGGGGTGAACGGCACAACTCTGTGTGAAGGGGCCACTCGTTTTCTGTTTGATGAGAGAGAACCAGCTCACAATGCCTCCCCGCTCGCCTGCCTGGGGAGTCTGAAAGCGAAGTCCTGTTGAGGGGAATTCTCCCCTCGCCTGCATTCCCTGGGTCAGCTCTGGTCTCTGCAGCCTCACAGCTGCTCAGGCAACACTTGGGCCTAAAGGCCGTCCCTGGCATCGTTGCCTCCAAACAGCACCCCAGTGAGGTCTGCAGCACTGGCCCTGGGATGCGGAAGGATTTACGCGAGCTCCCTCTCCAGGACCAGAACCACGTTACCAGGGTCCTGCCCTACCTTCTCCTTTGCTGGGGGACAACCTGGGGCCCTCTTGGTCCCCACTGGGACCTGCATGTGTCTCCACCACAGACAAGACCCCTCCTGCCTGGACGCATTGAGCTGCCACAAAGGCAGCACATGAGGCCCCCACATCCCCAAACAACAGCCGAGCCCCCGATCCAAAGGCAGGCCCTGCACAAAAGAGGGTCTCACAGATGCCCCGTCCAGAAGTCATGCCAGGGGCTGACACTCAGCCCATGGAGGTGGAGGGGCAGTTCTGCCCCTGCCCTGCAAGCCACCTTTCTCACCCATGAAGCTGGGGACAGCCACTTAGAGCCTCCAGCACACAGTGAATGCGGAAGGAGCTCTGCCTTTCTTATCAGGAGTCAGAGGTGAGGACAAGGCTTTCCTCGAGACCAACCCTTTCTTTGGGCTCTGAGGTCTCTAACAAGCTCATCTGAGCCCCTGCTCACAGACACACATGGCCAGCAAGCCACTGGGCAGCAGGTAGTGAGGTCAGCGGCCCTGGCCACAACCCCTCCGTGGGACCTGGGACCACGTGCCTTGCTTGCTCCACGCTGCCCCCAGCATCTGACCCACAGAGGTCCCACCCTCAGATCTACAGGACTCAGGTAGGTGGATAAGGTCAGGGGTCCCCAGGGTGGGGAGTCTCCTGGGAGGTCAGCCGGCACCTTCCTCCATTGGGCAGAGCCCTGACTGAGGCCACAGCTGGGCTCATCCCTCTCCTAAGGACAGACCAGGAGGTGCCACTTTGGCAGAAGGGTTGTTTTGCTCTGAAGGCAGTAGAGACCCTGTGGGCTCAAAATAAACTCCTGTCAAAATGTTTTCCGAGTCTTCACTAGATTTTTTGTCTTTGGTGACCTGTCTTTGGAGCCAGGAGCTTTTACTACCTGCCTACCGCCAGGCAAGCAAAGGAGGAAGGGTCTCTACTTGGAGAGAGCCCACATCTTGGCTCTCCCGTGTGCCCACCCAGTGGGACAGGTCAGCCCCTCAGCCCCAGGCTTCCTCTGTCCTCCTCTGTCCCAGACATGGGGAGGAGGAGCTGCATCCCGGCTGACAACCTCTCCAGCGTGATGGAGAGGGGCGTGATGTCCCCTTCTTCCCACTACCAATTAAAGTGTCCCGGGAGCCTCAACCATATACGATACTCCTCTCAAATCTGTGATCATTCCCCCTCAACTGGACCCTTCCTGGGGCTTTTCAGCTGTTCGACAAGCTTGAGGTGTCCACATCCGAAAAACACTATCTGGCTGGACTCCACACCCCAGCCCCAGTAGCTCTGCATCTCCACCCACCTCATAACCGTATCTTGTAAGGGTCTCCAACTTGCAGACGCCATTCCTTGCTCCCCAGTCTTGCTGGCCTCTATCCACAGCCCGCCACCAAAACAGCAGTCCCTGCCAGGTGCCACCCTCATCACACTGGCTCCCTGCTCCCGTGGCGGTGCCCCACCCCCCTGTGCTCAAGCCTCTCTCCTGGTTTCTCCTTCTGCTCCACTTGCCTTCCTGCCACCTCCTGATCCCACCCCTGCCCACAGCTTTCCCTCCCCCTGCTCTCAGCTGTGAACTCCCTGGGCGTGAGCACAGGGGACCGTCCTGGGCCCCAAGTCCTGCCACTGTTCCTTTCTGAGTCTCCCCAGAATCTGACCACTTCTGACCTCTCTGGCTCTTCTGTTTTGTTTGCAAAATTTGATGAACTGATACTAAAATTCATATGGCAGATCAAGGGACATAGAATAGTCAATAAAAACGAAGCGGATGCACCTCACATCAGAAGTCAAAACCAACACAGGGGTCACAGATCTAAACGTCAGAGTCAAAACTCTGGGAAAACATAGAAGCCAATCTTCCTGGCTGGGTCAGGCAATGGTTTCTTAGATATGACCCCGGAAGCACCAGCAACAAAAGAAAAAGTGGGTAAACTGAGCTTTAGCAAAGTCTAATATTTGGGGCATCAAATAACACCAACAATAAAGTGAAGAGCCAGCCCAGACTGGAAAAAGCATTTGCAAGTCACGTTCTGAGGAGGAGCTTTTACTCAGAGCATGTAAACAGCTCTTGCAACTCCAAAATAGAGCAAATAACTTGACTTTAAAATGGGCAAAGGACTTGAATGGACATTCCTCCAAGGACAACATGTAAGTGGTCGCTAAGCACATGAAGATGCTCCACACCTCGTCATCAGGGAAACGCAAACGAAACCACAGCGTGATCCCACCACACAGCCACCAACACAACGGACAGCAGCAGGTGCTGGAGGGAATGTGGGGAAACTGGGGCCCCGTCCACCCTGACGGGGGAGCAAAATGGCACGACCACTTGGAAAACCATCGGCAGGTCATCAAAATCCTAAACGCAGATTTACTGTAGGACCCGCAGTTCTACTCCAGGTATAGACCCAAGAGAAATGGAAATGTACGTCCACACGGAGCCCTGCACACAGCGATTTGTCACAGGCTTATCTATACTAGCCGAAACGTGGAAATAACCGAATGTCCATCAGTTGCTCAATGGACGATACAAAATACGACTGCACAGTATTTGACGACAAAGAAGAATCAAAGAGCTCGCGCACGGTTCAGCATAGCTGAACCTAAAACATCACACTCAGTGAAAGAATTCGAACGAGAAAGACTACGTTTGATTGTACGGTTCTTTACTTATGGAACATCCAGAAATGGCAGATCCAAAGAGACAGAGAGCAGATTAGCGGCGCCGGGCTTGGGGGAGGGGCAACAGTGGGCACGGGGTCTCTTCGGGGGGCAGGGTGCCGAAAACGTTCTCAAGTCAGACTGTGGTGACAGATGCCTAACCCGTGAACTGGCTGAGGCCACTGAACTCTATACTTGTAACAGGTGAATTATGTGACATGTAAATTATATTTCAATAAAGCTATTTTTTAAAAGTCAACAGCACACAGAGGGAGGAAGCACAGCAGTGCGAGTCCACGGACAAGGTCCTGACACACAGCCTGGCCGCTGCAGCCCCCCGCCACCGGCCCAGGCAGGGTACCAGCCCTCAAGAGGGGGTAGGC